TATTGAGAGGATCATATGATTCTTGTTCTTTCTTTTGTTAATGTATTGTATCACGTTGATTGATTTGTGGATGTTGAACCAACCTTGCAGCCCAGTTTGAAGCCCTAAACTCTTAAAAATGAGGACACCAAAGGCCTTTTGTTTGTAGGAGTTCTACCTACACTGGTCAGATTCCACTTCTAGTCAGTTTCTTTTGTTTTGTATTTGATATTTACCATATTTGAAATTAAAACTCAAGACTGTAAAATAATATTTCTCATTGATTCATTTAAATAAAAACATTAATCAATAAAATACTGCTTGAAAAGTAATTGCATTTTCTAAGACAAAACATTCAGTGTAGAGAGTAACACTCGTTTATGTTTTTAGCAAATTTCCTACTGTCTAGCTTACTAGAAGGCAGCTCATTTAGTGTGTGGCAATATGCTGCTCTAATTGGAGTATTCATCATGAAAATTCATACTCATGCAGCTATGCAGTTGGACGTGAACTGGCAGTTCACAGGAGAGGGGCACAATGAAGGCCGAGGCGCTACATGGTCTTAGCCCTGTGGCTGGCGCAGCAGGGTCAGAAGACCCTAGCGGATTACCCCTAGTGGGGACATTATGAAGGTTTTCTTTTTCCTTACTTTTTACTCTGTCCTGAATTATCCAAGTTTCCTATAGTGCATAACAAGTATTACTTTTATAATGTTTTTTTGTGTTTCAGTCAGATTGGTTTTTTTCCCCAAAATCTGGTAATATTATTTTAGATTCTCATATAGCAGTCAGGATGAGCTTTACAGAAAACACAATTCTAAGTTCACTGACTTCAGGGAGGAGAAAAATACACCAAGAGGGAAGAAACAGTGCATAGGAAACAACGACCTAGATCAAATGTGACCAAAAAGCATGTCCCCTCTCCCAGTACATGGAGAGAGTTGAAAGAGCAAATACTGGGTTGTCACTCCAGTAGAGAGAGTAGAGGGGGACATACAGGATAGGAGGGCGAAACGCATCAGATCACACAGGGTCATGCAACAGGTCAAGGAGCAGTGCTAACCTAGCATTCACTCACAGATTCAGGACCTGCAAGAGAAACTAGTGCACTATTTCCTTTCCTTCACATCAGAGAGCCCGTGCTCAATGACAGAAAGACTCTCAACTGGAAAAGCAAAGTCTTGAATCTTGATCCTGATTTACTTGCCAAGTGATTAACAACATAGAGCTTCATTTGCCTTTTATTAACACGGGAAAAGCAATGCTTATCTTACCTTCCTTCATAAAGGTATTATCAGACGTCATCAAGTGCCAAAAAGGTGAGGTGTAAGATTCTGGCAGTGTCACCTTATTAGCACACAGTTCTTAGGTGACTTAAAATTGCTAGGGCGAGGGGCATATTGCTTGAATTACTGTATACCATTCACTGAGCCAGGGGAAAAGGAGAAGAAACTGGTCTAGAGAAGAGTGTGAATTTGGTTTGGAGCACCTTCAGGGGATGATGCTGTTTGCCCAAATAATTCAGAGAAAAAGAAGAGATGAAAGCAGATTCTAACTGATTACAGGAAGAGAAGTAGGGAAGTAGAGATAATAATATGGAGAATTATTTCAAGAAACTGTGAGGGGCAGGAAAGACAGGACACGAAGAGCAGAAGATGTGAGGGTCTGCTTGGTTTGGGGCAGGAGGGCTGCTGACAGGTGGGGTAGGGCGAAAGGGAAGTGGGAGATGGGGGAGCTCCAGGTGGGCACTGGGAAAAGAGGCCTCTAAAAATGAGAGGGGATGCAGAGGGGATGGAATAAAGAGCTTCGGGGAAAGACTGCTGGTTGGCTTCCATAAAAGAGAGAAGGATGAAAAATAAATACAGCCAGAAATACCACTCCCCAGAACAGGCAAGGAAAGGATTCAGACAGCGTGAATTAGATGGAGTTTTTAGACCACAGTAAGCTAGCCCTCAACCAGTTCAGGCAAGATGGCACCACACTGTGCAAATGTGTTCCTTTAACTCTTCTTGCATGTGTATATGTGTGTGTGTTGTCTGTGCGCATGTGCATACATGCACCTGTGTTTTCTCTGACACTTCACATATAAATATAAATCGTGTTACTGGTCAAGTGTGCTATAAATTTATACTTTGAATCACATTCTCCCCCAAAGACAGCAGTGACAGAAAATGCTAGTGCATATACGTATATTTTCTTTTTTTTTTTTTAAAAGATTATTTATTTTTTATTTGAGAGAGAGAGAATGAGAGACAGAGAGCAAGAGAGGAAGGAGGGTCAGAGGGAGAAGCAGACTCCCTGCCGAGCAGGGAGCCCGAGGCGGGACTCGATCCCGGGACTCCAGGATCATGACCTGAGTCGAAGGCAGTCGCTTAACCAACTGAGCCACCCAGGCGCCCGCATATACGTATATTTTCAAGAGAGGCCTATCACCACTCAAAAACTAGAAAAACAGCTGTACAGGTGAGAAATGGAACAAAATGCAAGGTGGTAAGCAGGAACCTGGCCAAGGGAGGCAGCCATATCTGCATCCATGGAGCAGGGGACTAAGGCACCCCGCTCCAGTGCAGCATAACTGGGGCCAGGCTGTTTGCACAAAACCAGGAGCTAGGACAGTGGAACACTGTCCCTGAAAGGGGGCTGAAAAAAGCCACAGTTGCCGCTCTGGAACTATAGCTTGGGCCAACAGCACGCTACCTTACTGGCTCTCCAAAATCCCTGAGGTCATCACAAGGTGGGAGCTCTGGGCTACAAACACCTGGTTCTGGACTAAGGACTTAGCAGCTCAGGGGACAGTTGTGAAAATAAGGGAGGGAAAAGTGAGCAGAGAGAGAATATACTCCTCCTTGAGATGAACGTACCAACTAAAACTCGTACACACATGAGAAAAGGGGGCACATAAGCCAAGAAACTCAAACGACGATTCATCAAGATGGAAGACAAGACTAAGAGAGTTTGCCAGTAAGGGACCCTCGCTGATGAGCCACTGCAGGGTCTATTTCCCTCAGAAGGGTCCCACGCCGAGAAGGAAGGTGCAGGATAAACAGTGACCTGGGGCGGACAGGACCCCGACAGCCCTTGCCCAGGAACACACGGTCAGGTTGGGGAGCTGTTACAAGTGGCCACAGAGCCGGCAGATCCCTGGTGAACTCAGACCGTTTGTATTCACCATGCCAGTAAGTAATTTAAACTAGAAATGACTCTGCCGACTGGCGCTCCAGTTCAGCAGCAGGCTTCAGGGTCCTGCAGGCGCCGGCAGCGCCCCAAGCCGGCAGGTGCTGCCCCTCCGCAGCCTTCCCATCCCTCCCTGGCTCCTGCGTCTTCGCAGCAACGGCCGCCTCAAGCCTCCGCAGAGTGGCGACAGAACTGGCCAAGCTGCTGCTGGTAGGCATGACTTCAGATGTAAGGCAGCAACACTTCAATGCCCAGTTCCACCTTTTTTTAAGCTTTAACGTAGCTCTTGGTGAGGACGCTGGCTGGCGGGAATGACACTTACAAAGTAGCCACATCTGAGACAGTGAACCTAGACACACTTGTTACGCTCAGTGCATGACTGTTACTCCCTTTGAGTCAATGGTTATTTCAGCAATATTCAAACTTACCAAGTAGGTTCCCATTTCTTTTTCCAGGACAACTTGTTCATATACTGTAGCATCGATGTCCGCTTTTAATGCCTGCACCTTCCTCTTCACCTGCACATGGTGCTTCTTTTGGAGCCAGTAGGGAAGAAGAGATTCCATAATTTGGTTAAGGATCTGGGAGGTAATGAGGAGAGTGGCCAAGCTCTAAAAAGAAGCACACAAATGGAATCTGACAATGTAGCTTAATAAGATCGCATGTATACATATCATATGTATAATCATGTAGTAAATAAAATGGAAACTTCAACAAATAGTATACTATTAATAAAAACTAGTATTGGAAAAGCTAGGTGCTAGAATAATGTTTCCAATTTATTGTTTTTTCACAGTTAAGACATATTAAAATACAAAAAAGTTGCAATATAAATAAGATTATAAGAAATCAATTACAAGTTGGCAGGGGAACAATTTTACTTAAAATTTGTGTTTTTTGTCATCTCATCCTTGCTACAACATAATAATCTACATGACATTGCCAACTTTGAAAAAAAAAGCAGTTTGGCCAAACTTAAAAAAAAATTATAAAACGAATACATCCTCCCTCATTGGAGAAAACTTAGAAAAGAGAAAAAGCCACCCATAATTCCACAAGCATGATGGAACCACTGCTGACATCGTAGGATATTTCTTTCCAGTCACATGTAAAAATACAAGTAGTCCATGGACTGTTGTTGACTTTATTATTCCCAACTTTCACTACTATAAATGCTGCTCCCTGGATATCTGTGTACATGAATCTTTGCCCTATCTCTGATGATTTACTAGGGATGGATTAAGGTTCTTTTTTTTTTTTTTTTAAAGATTTTATTTATTTATTTGAGAGAGAGAGAATGAGAGACAGAGAGCATGAGAGGGAGGAGGGTCAGAGGGAGAAGCAGACTCCCTGCCGAGCAGGGAGCCCGAGGCGGGACTCGATCCTGGGACTCCAGGATCATGACCTGAGCTGAAGGTAGTAGCTTAACCAACTGAGCCACCCAGGCGCCCCATGGATTAAGGTTCTTGGCAAAGCTGCCCGAGTAGTTTCCAGAAATGCTGTGTCAATTTCTACTTACCCCAAGCAGAGAGAAGTGTTTCTATCACATACCACCTTTCCTGGTATTAAAATTATATTATTTAAAAAGTCCTCTCCTATCCTCACACCCTATCCTGTTAAAAAAGGAGACTCTCTAAGGTACTAGAAATGAGAAGTCATACCTTACTAATACACTAATGGCAGGACAGAAGACAGTATGTACATTCAACTTATCAATTGCAAAATGTACTATTTTGAACTTTAAATTTTCCCAAAAAAGTAGCAATATATGTAGTATTGTTAAGAAACACAGCATTTGATTTCACTTTTATGCAAGCTGTTAGAACCATAACTACAAAATCTTTCTCTGATTATACAATTTCCTGAAAAATGATCCCAAGCCTAGGCTTTTGATATTTTTTTTACTAAAGATCACAGTATATTAAAACCAAGAAGGAACAGCCCTTACTGATAGCTGGCTCAATTATAAAAAAGATAATTTAGATGGCAATAATCTGTACTCAATTTATCATTCACTGGCATTTGTGATCCAAGAATGTCAACACACCAAAGTAAATGTCAGACTTCCTAAACACCGCAGAAAAGACACAGCATTGCATAGGTTCTGCTGGCCTCTAAAGTTTAACCACTTATTCATTTCAAAGTGAAATGTATTTAAAGTCCTATCAATCACCCCTCACTCTGGGACACACACAAAACTTCAATTAAGGAATACACGTTCTTCATTAGAATTGCTTTTACGAGCTTTGAGATGAACGATTTATTTTCCACTACTATATGATTAATTTTACAAGTTGGTTAGCTTCAACTAATTTTTCAGTTGAGTATGATATACAGTGCAATGGCTAATGTTGTTTTATTTAGAGTTGGCTTAGAAATATACAAAATGTAAGACTTCATTTGTAAAAATAATAGTGTGAAGACAATTACATTCCCTGAATATAGTTAAGTACCTCTAAAACCTGTAAAACCGATACCTTCTGCTATTCACTCACCTGACGCAACAGCTTCATATCCCTCAAGACGAAAGCAATGTAAAAAAGCGAGGCGAAGCAATTCAGAAAGTTGAACTGTCAAAAAAAGACAGCAAGATTTCACACTGCTTTACAGTACTTCATCAAAACTGGAAATACAGCATTAAAACTGTAATGAGGGGACTTCCAGTCCTGACAAGATGCCATAGACTTGTTTCTCCCTATTCCTCCTCACTAAGCACGTCCACAAACTCTGGAACGAACACAGGGGTGAGCAAAGGAGTTCTCTGGGACCTGCCTAGAGCCTAGAGGACCAATGACTTTGGGACTCCAGGACAGTGCCAGCGCATCTCCACTACATTCCAACACAAGGCCCAGCCTTTCCCACCCCCAACCAGCACCCCAGATAGCCGGGGGGGGCTCACTCCCTGCCCACCCCCCTGGCCCCATCCCCTGTCCATTTGAAGAGCCTTGCAGACCTGGCAAGGGGGATCTCTCTGGAGTCCTCACTAGCGTGCTTCCCTCCCTGTAAGGCCTGGCACTCCCCTGTGCCGCGGGGAGATACCAGGACGGCCAGACAGCACCGGCATTTGGAATATCAATTATCTCACAGTGCTAGCATGATGCCTTCAAAGACTTTTTAGTACGTATGGCTGCTTGCACCTTTTCTAATGTCCAAACTGCTAAAATTGCTGAATTTTTATTACCTACTTATGAAAAATTTTCTATTTCCTTACCACTCTTGCCTCTATAAGTTTACCTCCTTCCAGAAACCTAAACACCTTCCTATCAGTAGTTTCTAATCTGTTAAGGCCTGAAAAACTAGATCAATAAGCTTCTTAGAATGATTTCTGTAGCTGGAACAAAAACTCATTTCTCTGGAATCCTTTCCTGGGAGTAAGGGACAGGGGCTGTGCTCCAGTTGAGAGTTCAGAGGACTCTTTCTGCACCTTTCTTGACCCTCAGTTATGTTACCAATGGCTGAGATAACCTCCTGATAAATGAGGGGCTTCCAACTGGTATTTATTATTTTTCATAATGATGGAAACAGGCATAATGTGCGAGATTTTACACAAACAGCAAGCAGGTTACACTATGCCTTCTCTCCATTTCTTTCCTCCTACCCACTAAAACATGCTGGGAATCTCTTAGACTTCGGAAATTTCTTTCACAAAATTAATGGTCCATCTTTCAAAAAATGTAATGGTCCATCACTGAATTGAATTGGAAGAATTGTTGAAGAGTGAAACAAAGAAGTCACCAAAAGGAAAAGAACAGAAATATGTCTGCAACATGGTTAGTTAGCTTTTCAAATTACTAGAGATTGGCTAAACCACTAATTTCTATACTTTAAGTCTTACAACACACACATAGGTAGTAAGACTACTGAATGTATAGGTAAACACATTTAATCAATCTTTGCCTGCCTATACAAAATATATTAACTATCTGGTATCTTAAATTAGAAGCCAGCCTTCCTATTTATACTCCTAAGTATTAACTAGTATACGTAAGTTTCAAAATTCAAATGGATTTGTATATAAAAACTCTACTCACCACTAAAACTTTCAGAATTAGATGATTCTGGTAGGCAGATTCCAATCTGTGATTCTCTAAAATATTGAAAAGGAGAGGAAATTTCTCTTAGATAAGCACGCAGTAGGGGAGGCTATTGTGGGGTAAAGGCAGATGAGCTGAGGCAGAGATGTCAGGCACCGGAGCCTCAGTGAGTGAACATGCCAGACTGTCACTCATGGTTACCACTTACCCACAAGAACATCTCACAGGGGCTCGATCCCAGGATACAAGAAATGTGTAGAACACATTTCTCACAGTACTGCAAGAGCACCGTGTTCTGAAATTATTTTTAAAGTATTACTGCAACGAAGAAACATGGGAAGTATTGGCAAATGATCCCATAGAGAGCCACCCAGAAAAAGACCCTGAATAAAATAAAACTGATAGCAACCTCTAAAGAGGGCAATAAAGTTTTTGTATGTGTGCGTTATGAGGATTAACTTAAAGGGCAACTCAAATCTCCGTCCTCAGCTAGGGAAAGGAGACACAGGACAGGCCCTAAGAAAGCAGGGCAAAAGAACAAAGAAGATTCTGAAGAGAAGTGTCACCCTGCATAGAGGTGGTGTTAGACTCGTCTGGACTGGAACCCCACTCAGCTACTCAGCCACTGTCTGTCCTTGGGCAAGTCACTCAACCTCCCGATACTCAGCCTCCTTGCCTACAAAAATAGTGCTAACGCCCCCCTCCTCTCAGAGTCACCATCAGGATAAGAAATAATACAAAACCTCAGTCCAGTTCCAGCATAAGGAAAGCACTCAATACATAGTAGCTGTTAAATGACTATTAAAAATAACATAAACATCTTTATGGTCCATGAAGTTAAGATACAGACTTCTTCCTAGGGAATAACATTGCATATTAACTTGTTTGAGTGAATAAATAGAGAATGGCCTGTCAAGACTATTTTTTTAAAAGATTTTATTTCTTTATTTGAGAGAGAGAGAGAGACAGACAGTGACAGAGATAGCGAGAGAGAGCACAAGTGGGGAGGAGAGGGAGAAGCAGGCTCCCGCTGAGCAGGGAGCCTGACGTGGGGCTCGATCCCAGGACCCTGGGATCATGACCTGAGCCGAAGGCAGACGCTTAACCGACCGAGCCCCCCAGGCGCCCCAAGACCATTTTTAAACTATATCCATTCCCCTCTGGCACAGATATATACAAGAGTACCCACTCTACTAAGGCCAGTGGCAATCCTTGGTGCTCTAAACCATTAGTAATTGTTTGTCAGACACCAGACATAGTTCACTTGGCCAAAGTATCTGAAGATAATTCAATCTACTTTACCCCCAACAAAAAATACAAAATTATAGTATTGGGATCACAGGTTTTAGACACAGAGAGGTCTGGATTAGCCTGGCTCTACAATTTGCCTGAACACTGCTAACTCTCAGGGTCTTTATCCCTAAAACGGTGAGATAACTTCTATTTCATGGTGTGCTGAGGAGGTGAAAATGAGATACCACGGACAAAGAGTTAGCAGGGCATCTGGAGTGCAGTGACTAACATTCGTCTATGACGGCCACGATAACCAGGAGGTGAGAGCATCAGAACCCACAAAGCTGATGAATTCCCCCTTACGTCTCTATAGTGAGCCCACAGCAACATCTTGCTTTGCAAAGCTGCAGTTATAGGAATCCTATGATCCAAGCAACATTTCCTATAGGCAAATAAGACATAAATGCAAGCATCACGTCTTACCCCATGAAGTTAGAAATTCGGCAGCGTATCGATAGAGGCGGTTCATGATCTCAATCACAATGGCATAGATGATGCTGGGCACATACAACAGGACGCTGGTCCACTCGGATCCGCTGCTCTCATGTAGACTCAAGGCCCAGGCCTCCATGTCAAAGTAAATCATCATGACATACAGGCAGAAATAGAGACAGAGGCACACAAAGGGCAGCGAGACCAGGTAAATGCGCAACTGCCTCTTGTAGCTGGGGTAGAGAGGTTCCTCCCTACCAGTGATGGGATTGATACCCAGGACCCCATGGAATCCCGGCCGGGGCTCCTCAAACTGTCTCTTCATGACAAGTGTCCCCCACCTGTAGGTCATATTGGCACAGCCACGCTTCCACACTTCCAGGATCACTGTGGACCAGATCAGGTTGAAGGAGGCGAAGATCACATACTTGTCATAGTCTTCCCACACAAACAAATAGTAAGGTAACCCAATGACTGCCATAGGGATTAAGGCAACAGTGAAATATTCCAAAAATCCAAAGTAAAGAGCGATTGTTTCCCCAAAGTAGCCACGAATACGGTCTACAATGAAAGGGAAAAAGAAGACCTTAAGTAGAGACTACCAAAGACTTTCACCATTTCAAGTAAGCTTATTTATTTTTGTAGTTAAATGGGGATCATTTAATACCCTCATTTCCCAATCAGTGTGCAATAGTAAATCCATCTTCCATGCAGTACACAGACCCCACTTGCCTGGAGAGCGAGCCCAATACTTGCCCCAGCTTAGAGCCCAGGCTGGGGCTGCTCTGAAAGGCACCCAGGGTCTGTTTCCTCTTTACTTCCTTATCTGATGGATGCCCTCTTCCCAAAGAAAAACTCAGCTTGGGGCTTGTCCCAAATCTCCATGATCCTAGCTTAAACTCAGCCATATAGCCAATGAGCCATTTTAATTTGGGGGTTTAATTTATATTCCCTGCCTTTCTCTCACTTTAATATCATAGTTATAGATGTTCTTTTCAAAGAAGACTCCCCATCCGCAGTATCTGCTCCCGCTATCCAAAAATGTAAATTTTCATCAATGTGCCATGGCAAATGATTCAATACACTGGAGAAAAGCTATTCAAAAGTACAAAACAATATTCTACACATTAACTTCTAGAACAGCCATGGGACACATTTATCTCTATACCTTCCTATAAGAACTGGGCAAAAGAAGGGACAAGCAACATCACTGTTAAATATTCTGTGAACTCGGCAGGAGCTAACCCAAAAGGGGTCTCAAACACTACATCCTTTGCCAGCTGCATCTACCTGGGTGAGTGCCTGGGTTGTAAAAGCATCCTGCACTGGGAGCAGAGTGCGATGCAGGGGCTGGGGAGGTACAATAATGGGGTTATTATTTCTTGGTTAATTATACGCAGTTAAAACTTTAAGATAATGTGTCAGATCGTCTGTGCAGATGGGTCAGAGTAAACTGGTATAAGCTATTCTTCCCTATCCTTATTCTTTTAACTAACCTACGGACATGTTAAAATAGTTGGTATGATCAGGTCACCTCAAATCTGAATCAGGTTAAAGGATATCCAAACAATGAAAAAAAAAGGTGCTCAGGGTTCTGGGCTCCAAATCACATGACGTCCCTCTTTTGATCTTAAGGGGAAGGTCAAGATTCACCTGTGCCCCAGCTGCTATCACCAGTCCCAGCACTCCCCAAAGCCTCACACCCTCTACCACAACCATGCTCAGCCTTCACCATTAACTCACTTTTCCCCTCAATTTCTAAGCAGCTACTGGATACTGTCACCTACAAGTGCTAGAGGCAATACTTAAATTTACTGCACCTAAATGGCACACAAAGTGAAAAAAATGTCAATAAATGTAACACAAAACTACTAGTGTATTACCTAGAACTATTAAAAACAAACTTTTCCTTTCAAAGAATACAAGAAAAAATTCAAATGCAATTTCAAATTTTCATCTTAAAAACAAATTTTTATTTACTGTTACAATATTATAGTGGATGTTTTCAGGAATGGAAATTAGAAATAAAATTATTTTAGAGGGATTCCTTTAAACAAAGTCAAAAGAGAAATGCCCTTGAAAGAAATATGGATAGCAACACTTATGGTAAAATCTAACAGCTTAATAATCCTTATGCTTAGAAAAACATAACTAAAGCCAAAAATCTGAATATCCACACTGATGTCAGTTTGCATACAGTAATGCTCAACACATACCAAATAAATTAATGGATACTCTTGTAACTGTATTCAGAGAAAAGGGATAGATTCAATAATATACACCAAGATACTTACAAACTACCTCAAAAGATGTTTAGGCCTGTCTGCCCCTAAAAATGAGCACAGCTTGGTCCACTCAAATTATTAGCTCTAAAGAAAGAGAAATTTTCAAATACAGGATATTCACAGTCAAATGAAATTCTCCTAAAATCTGTCCTACTCCGACTCGGACACGTACTTATGAAGGCCACTCTGAATAGCCTGTGCTATTGGTGAAATTTAATGAAAGCTTGTCATTCAGCCCATAGGAAATGCTATTGGAAATAAAATAAATTACTAAGTAGGTCATGTAAACCATCTTATCCAACCCCAATTTTTGCCCACATGCAGCTGGTGAGCCTTGCCCAGCAGAGCATTAAACATCTACCCGAGATGGTGAGAAAGCACCACTGCTGAATCATGACGCCTCGTTGGTAGTCCTTGTTCTCTATGAGAACAGGTATTGACACGTACCTAGGGGCTGATACTTCAAAGTAAACCGGGTGTACCAGCTGTCTTCAAGCTTCTTTAGGGCTTCGTTATCATGCAGTGGGAACACCTGAATCACAATGCCAGAGGTGAGCAATCTTCTCACTGTGGAGGGAAAATGTGCCAAACTAGATAAAAGGGATTTGAGATCACTCATCACTGTGACATACTTCTTCAAATGCTGGAAAGACAGCCCAGTAAGAAAGGGGTGCTACACAAGGAGCAGTGGCATACTGCCTACTCTAAAGGCATATATTCTTTTGTTCTTCACATGGAAATATCTTGAGTATTTTCTTTAACTATGAAAGCAATACAAGTTTATGTAAAAACCATACTGAAATGTACAAATTAGAATTGGGAGAGATCCTCCGACAAAAAATAACCACTGTAAACAGCAATTTTGTGTAAAACCAAACTTTAAAACAAACATCCATAAATATGTATTATAAAAATAAAAGTAGGATCATTCTATACACATTGTTCTGTAATCTTTTCTCATGTAGTAGTGTATAACAAATGTTTTTCAATGCCAATGCCTATAAACATGAAATGTCCTTTTTAACAGTATCATAATATTCCCTTGTATGAAGTGCTATAATTTAATGTTCTATTGAAAAATACTTGTTTCCTGCCTCCCACTTTTTTGCCATTATATATGTTAAAATTCAGGGCACCTGGGTGGCTCAGTCAGGTAAGCATTCTACTCTTAGTTTCGGCTCAGGTTATGATCTCATGGTCCTGGAATCGAGCCCCACATCAGGCTCCACGCTCAGCAGGGAGTCTGCTGGAGATTCTCTCCTTCTGTCCCTCCCCCTGTCGCACTCTCTTAAATAAATAAATCTTAATAAATAAATAAACAAATAAATGTTAAAATTCTTATACACATATCTTTTCCCACCTGCCCACTATTTCCTCGAACTCACTTAGAAGTAGAATTGCTAGGTCCAAGAGCATATGTATTTTAAACGTGAACACCTATTATAAAACTGCCCCTAGAAAGACTTTACCAATCTGTCCTCCCACTACAGTGAAGGTAAGAAGACAGTGTTCAGTTCCTTTTATTCTTGATGATATTGAATATTTGCAGAATCATTTTCATCTTTTCTAATCTGATAACAAAAGCTTATGTTTATAAACAGCAAATATCAAAATCAAATAAAATCAGACTTTCAGCAGTCAGCTGACTGGTATGATTTTATCACTCATGCACATATTTGAAAGAGACAAATGAATTTAACCAAAGACAATATCCCCTGGTAAGTGTAAGTGAAAACAGGGCATTCTCTCATCCATAATTATTTAGAGGGACTCACAGGGCGGGTGGGTCTTCAGGTTCTATTAACAGGAAGTGTGTTCAGCAGACATGGGGAGCTCTGATGCAGTGCTTTGTGCCATATGTGGGGAGACGGACTACTTTCCACACAAGCTTCTAATAGAGTCTCTAAAGAATATAGCTGCTTATAAGATGGAATTTGCAAAAAGAAGAGCTGGAGATGCTGTTTTCATTCACTGATAAGCTTTGAGCTCTTCAAGGTTTATCAGCTCACCTCTTCCAAGGGCTGCCTCCCTTATCTCCTATCTACCTTGTCACCAAAGAAAGGTGATGAGCATATTAAGCAACAGGCCCTTCAGGAGGATGATAAACGAATGTCTGCAGCATTGAAGAAAAGTATGTTTTAAGTTTTCCGTGTAGAAATATTATATATAACAAAGAGAGATGGTATTCTCAAGACAGAGGCCTTATCATAAAATCTTCAGAGTAATTTAAAAGTAAAGCAGGGGCACCTGGGTGGCTCAGTTAAGTGTCTGACTCCAGATTTCAGTTCAGGTCATGCTCTCAGTGTTGTGAGATCGAGCCCCAGGTCAGGCTCCATGCTCAGGAGGGAGTCTGCTGGAGATTCTCCCTCTTCCTCTGCCCCTCCCCCTGCTCTCGTGCTCTCTCTCTCTCTAAAAATAAATAAATCTTTTTTAAAAAGTCTTGAAAACCTAGGGATGTGATGAAATTCTTAATGATTAAAAAAGGCATACACTCAAAATATCATTAATTAGGGGAAAAAGGTACATGGTTTAAGTTATATTAGCCACTGATGCTGTAAAATCCATTATTTAATGTTTTTATTCTAAAGCGTTTCAGTGGGTTTTTCTTCAGCTCACATGAGTGAAAGTCGGTCATCCACAACTGTTCTGATTCCTATCTCTTATTTGAAGATGTAGAGCTGTACTTTATTCTTTCTTCCATTACTATCCTTTTCAATTACTGTGTCAAGTTATTCAACTTTGAACTGACAACATCTACTTTATTTTACTATTTCTAAGTTCTTTTTAAAAAACTGACTGCATTCGGGGCGCCTGGGTGGCTCAGATGGTTAAGCGTCTGCCTTCGGCTCAGGTCATGATCCCGGGGTCCTGGTATCAATCCCCGCATCGGGCTCCCTGCTCGGCGGGAGGCCTGCCTCTCCCCCCTTCACTCCTCCTGCCTGTGCTCCTCTCTCGCTGTGTCTCTCTCTGTCAAATAAATAAATAGAATCTTAAAAAAAAAAAAAAAAAAAACCTGACTGCATTCTACTATAGATGACTTTCTAGGCAGGCATAAAAACCAGCTACTTCTAAAAAAAGGACAGTGAACTGAAGGACTCAGAATATAAAGCCTCAAGTCCTAAATTACCAGGCTTCTCTTCACCATCAATGCCAAAAGCATGGTTCCAATTTCAGCTTCTAAAAATAGAGGTTTTCTTTTAATCCTTTAACTTTCTCTTGTCAGCTAAGAATGTAATTAAGATGACCCTTACCTTCAAAGGAAAGTATGATGCTGTGCAGGTCTATTTAAAGAAAGAAACAACTGCTTCCCAGGAGGATCGAGATGGCAGATTGGAGCTCACCTCTCCCCAGACACACCAAGGCTACAACTACATATAGAACAACTCTTCCACAGCTAGAAAGAAAAAGTCACATCGAGAAGCAGAGGAGGGGCAGAGAAGTGGTCTGATCGGGACCCACTCCCCCAGCATGGCAGTGGGAGGGATATCACATGCAGGAAGATCCTCCCTGTGGAGTGAGGGGTTCAAGCCCCACATGGGGCAATCTTGCCATGGGGACCTGCACCAGGAAGATGGGCCCAAAATGTCTGGCTTTGAAAATTAGCAGGGCTTAATCCAAAGAGAGCCGAGGGCTATAGGAAACCAAGACTCCACTCTTAAAAGACCCACCCACATACTCGCCCTAAGACTTAGTGCAGAGGCAGCAGTTTGAAAAGTGCCTGGGCCATTCATAAAGGAGACTGATTGACTAATTTTGGGGAACGTGCCAGAGGTGCAGGGAATTGCAGGAACTTTCTCCAGGAATGGAAGCGTGGGCAGATGCCATTTTTCTCACCCTACCTAGCTAGCCTAGTACTGGTGAGAAAGAGTTCTGACACTCTCTATCTACCTTGCTAGCGCTGCTAGCCCCACCCTCGTATTCCCCTGCAGACCTGCCTGCTCAACTCTCCCCACCCTGGAAGGCAGCCCCCAAAGTAGCTCCCACCCCACCACACCCCCCAGGCCATCTCTGCCTTAACTGGTGTTCCCCCAAAGGGGCTTCCATCCACCATGAGCCCACAACAGTTGTGGCTCACCCAAAACAGGAGGGAACACACAAGGGACACCCCTGGAGCTCCTGATTCTGGTGACCAGTAGGGGACTGCACTTCTGGGCCCCACAGTACACCTTCTACAGAAGGCCACTCCTTTAAGACCAGGAGATGTGGCTGATCTACCTAAAACACACAAACACAAAGAGTCAAAATGAGAAGACAGAGGAATACGTTCCAAATGAAAGAACAAGACAAAACCTCAGAAAAAGAATTAAATGAAAAAGAGACAAGTAATCTCCCTGATAAAGAGTTCCAAGTAATGGTCATGAAGATGCTCACCAAACTCAGGTGAAGAACTGATGAACACAGCAAGAACTTCAAGAAAGAAAGAAATAATATAAAACAAGAACCACTCAGAGCCAAAGAATATAATAACTGAATTGAAAAATATACTAGAGGGAATCAACAGCAGATTAGAGGATGCAGAAGAATGGATCAACAATCTGGAAAACAGGATAATAGAAATGACCCTACCTGAATGGCAAAAAGAAAAAAGAATTTCAAAAACTGAGGATAGTTGGGGCACCTCAGGTCATGATCCCAGGGTCCTGGGATCGAGCCCACGTCAGGCTCTCTGCTCAGCAGGGAGCCTGCTTCTCCCTCTTCTCTCTCTCTGTCAAATAAATAAATGAAATCTTTAAAAAAAAAAACTGAGGATAGTTCAAGAGACCTTCAGGACAGTATCAAGGGTACTAACATTTGCATTATAAAGGTCCCAGAATGAGAAGATAAAGAGAAAGGAGCAGAAAACTTATTTAAAGAAGTTACAGCTGAAACAGACAAGAAAACAGACATCCAGGTCCAAAAAAGGAAAGAGAACCCTGGGCAAGAAAACAGACATCCAGGTCCAAAAAGGAAAGAGAGCCCCAAACAAGAGGAACCCAAAGAGGTTCATACCAAGATACAAAATAATGAAAATGTCAAAAATTAAAGAGAAAATATTAAAAGCAGCAGGAAATAAGCTACTAGTTACATACATGAGAACACCCATAATACTATCAGCTGATTTTTCAGCAGACTTTGCAGGTCAGAAAGGAGTGGCACAATATATTCAAAGTGCTGAAAGGGAAAAACCCACAAAGAGAAACAGTCTACCCAGCAAGGTTATCATTCAGAATTGAAGTACAAATAAAGAGTTCCCCACACAAAAGAGTTCATCACCACTAAACCTGCTTTATAGGAAATGTTAAAGGAACTTCTTTAAGTGGAAAAGAATAGAAAATTTTAAAAGAAAAAATCTAACTGTAACAGTGAACATATAGTAAAGGTGGTAGGTGAACCACTTACAAAGCTAGTATGAAGGTTAAAACACAAAAGTAGTAAGTCAACAATATCTACAACAGTTAACTAAGGGATACACAAAATAAAAAGATGTGAAATATGATGACAAAAACATAAAGCAGGGAGGGGGGAGAGTAAAAATGTAGTGCTTTTAGAATGTGTTCAAACGTAAGCAACCATCAACTTGAAATATACTGTTACATACATAAGGTATTATATGTGAACCTCATGGTAATCACAACCAAAAACCTCTAATAGATA